AGAGAGAGAGAGAGAGAGAGAGAGAGAGAGAGAGAGAGAGAGAGAGATGATATTGTTCTAAACATTTTGATTAAAACGTAAATGCCCTTGGTCCTCAGGGAATAAACAGGCAAATGGCCTAAATAAGGATGAATGATTAAAATGCTGTAGCCAAATGGCAATGGCCACTTAGATTATGAATTTAATAAGCCTAAACTAATAATTAAAAGATTCATTGTGATAGAGCGTATTTCAATATGTGCCATAGTTCCTGATGTACTTATCAATCAGTAACTTCCTTATCATGGTGTTTGCATGCACATTGTTGACATTTATTACCTTTCACTCATTCCTTCCAGTTTAATGTGCATGCACTGGACAAGCCAATTTCCCTACTGTGACTTTTCCTGCAAGGAGGAACAATACAAACTACAGTAAGTAGGCCTACAGATGCCCCTGTTAAGAATAACTGACAATATATGTGTTTATTGTATGTTAAGAGAATCCTTTCCTGCAGCATGGACTGCATGTTAAAGGTGCAGTGTGTAGGATTTGGCGCAGTGATGCCGCAGATTGCAACCAACTGCAACTTTTGTAAAGAAAACATACTTATTATTGTTATTATTATATTCCATTCCTGCTAGATCCCTCTAAATGCTAGGTACTTTCCCTTTAAGAGAACCCCATGTTTCCTGCAGCATGGATAGAATCACAAGTGTTTTATTTTTTTGAAGTTTGAAATGATTTTTTTTTTTTCATCATGGTCAATTGATTGTCCATTGTTTTATTTTCAGATGAATCTGCTCTATTGTTGCAGTGTTATACTGCTGCTCGTCCTCTTTCCCAGAGACTGTCAAGGTGGCAACATCTTGGTCCTTCCTCTGGAAGGCAGCCACTGGATAAACATGGATATTCTACTTCAAGCGTTGCACTCGAGAGGACACAATATAACCATTGTTCGTTCCAGCAAAAGCTGGTACGTCAAGGATAAAGCCTCTTATTACAATACCTATACAGTTCAGGTGGAGAGGAGCATAGATCAGAAGCTCATTACAGACATGATATCACGCTCCATTGAATTTGAAAGGGGGGCCCTTCCTTTCGTGAATTTTCTCCACGCGACTGTAGGAATGTTGGGCACGTTTGTTGATGCTCACACAATTGTGGGTGAATTTCTATCAGCAATACTAGATGACCGAGAGTTGATGACAAAGATAAAAGATGGCAAGTTTGACCTGGTGCTCACTGACCCCTGCTGGGGTTACGGAGTCATTTTGGCCAAATATTTGAACCTTCCTTTGGTTTATAATGTTCGGTGGTTGATAGCTGGAGAGGGTCATCTTGCTATTGCTCCTTCACCTTTATCATACATTCCTATAACAGGATCTGGCAACACTGATAAAATGGCCTTTTTTCAGAGAGTTAAGAACGTCATTCTGCATATAATAACTCAAACACAACAACAGCTGGTGATTAAGCTAGTATACCAGAAATTGTGTGATAAATATCTTGGGCCAGATTATGACTATAACCAGTTGGTGCTTAATGCAGACCTGTGGCTGATGAGAGTGGACTTTGTGTTTGAGTTCCCTCG